AAATTGTGCACCAGTTTATTCACATTATTAAGAGAATAAGCCATGTTACTGGGAAAGAAGATCACCAGCTCATCCTTAATATGGCAAAATCATTTAAGGTTCTTAATTTATGTTGACTTTTTAACATGCACTCTTGCAATTAAGTTAGATTAATGAAAGGTAAATTCCAGCCCCTATGTTAAAAAAAAAAAAATCCTTGTAAAGAAGCTAATTAGTATGTTTGTTTATTCAGACTCTAATGGCTTAATTGCATTTTATCTTGCTATTTACAAATAGGCATCATTAAAGTATAATGAGCGTGTGAGGGAGAGTGCAGTGTTCCTAGCAGCAGCAGATGAGATAGAAGAAAAATAACTAGTTGAAAGCCAGGTTTGGGCAGGAATGGGGGAGAAGGGTTTTTGTTGTTCTACAGAATCTTACGCTCAGATTTTCAGCTCATTTAAATATGATTTCCAGACATTCTGCTTATTTGTGAGGGGGTGTAGAAGTGGAAGGTAAAGATGAGAGCTGCCTCTAGAGAGAGGCAGATGTGTGGCCTTTTGCTGGGAATACGCACAGCTTGGCTGCAGCTCTGCTTTGATGGTACCTTACTGTTTCCCAAGGTGAATAAAAACACTTGTACAAACTTGTCCTGCTAGTGATGCTATCAGGGAGGCACCCATGTTCCCTGAAAATAATGTTTTCTCTCCTTTAGCTCTGCATTGCAGAGCATCTGCAGTTCAGCTCAGCAGCAAATTCCCAGGGATGCTGAGAGGAAATCTGGAGCTTTGGGAATTTTTTGCAGTGGCGGAGCTTGGCGTTGGCAGCATTCTCTCTCTCCTAATACCCAACTCTTAGTAAATCTGAAGAAAGAATGTTTATTAATGCATTTATTTTTAATTGTCTGTAAAAGGGCTTTTCATTTGGCGTCCATTTCACTGAAGAGGGTAAGTTAAAGAGGGGGCTTTCAAGCTCTTTCCTCCAGGCAGAAGTCTGGCTGCTAAATAAATGTTGATCTTTTTCATTTTGTAAATTAATTTTGACCCTTCTATTAACTTAATTGGAGAAGTACTTATTTCTTTTCTGATCGCCAAGTCTAAACTTCTCTAGTAATCTCATAAGAAGTTATTTGAACCGTTTTCACTGCTCATTCTGAGCTTCCCCTTCCCCCATTCTTGGCATTCGGTGGTTGTCATATGCTCTTTGGTGGTAGACAAAATATTTTTAAAGCTGGGATATTTCAAGAAGATTTTTATTTTATGTATTTTTGTCAGAAAAGTTGCATAATATTGCAGATTTCAATCAGCTGCCTGCGCTATGTTTTTCTGGAGCCTGCCATTTTCGGAAGCAGTTGCATTATGAATAACTTAACTGTCTGAATTTAGTATACATAAGAAAAGCAACTTAGAGGTGCATTGTTATTACACAGACCAAAACAGCAGCTACACAAGTATTTTACTTGCAACTGTTCCATTTTCTACTCACAGAACTGTGGGGCATATTTTTTCATTCATATTAATTGAATTTTAAAGTGACCTTGTACACGTATTGATTTGAATTAAAATTTTCTACATCAAGGACAAGTTGGCATATATCCTACAGGCGAAATATTAAAAAGCCAAGTGCTGTCTTAACCGAGTATCGACAGAAGAAGTTGCAATTTAATGGGAAAAGTTGACTTAAGAGGGGAATTGTTGCCTTTTGTGTAACAGCTAAGAGGTATCTTTTCTGTATAATGAAAGAAGCTCCTTGCAATTGCTATGTGTGGAGATCCAGGGACATTTTATTGCCCCTTAAAAAGGGCCCATCCAGATCAGCACTGACCTCCAGAAAGAGAGACCAGCAGTCCTGGAGTCCAGAGCACAACTATCAAATTACTATTTTTTTTTTCCAGAGCCTTTAGTATTTTATTGCCTTCTTTCAGGTGTTCTTTAGGGACACATTTATATGAATAAAGGTGTAAATTATATTCCATACATAGATCTTCCCCGAGCATTGGCTCGTTGGCTAAGTTGAGCAGACATTGCAAGGAAATTGTTTACTGGAAAACAGACTGTGTAAAATACAGCTGAGATGAATACCAAACCAGTAAGTCCCGAAACCCATTATGGGTTTCCATTATTAGAGGAAAAAATGAAAAGCATCCGCATACCGTATCCAAAGGAAACAGGCTTTACCTGAAAAAGAGCTCGAGGAAACACTGCTGGCTTGCAAATCTAATGGGCTCCCCCAGCCTGAGAGAGTGTTGTTCATTCTTTGTACATCTAGCCCCATTCTTTCAGTGCTGTTACAATGATGAACTATAATTTCTCTGAGTTACGCTTACTTTTACAAAATTTCTGTTTCTGTCAGGCTTAATTAATGTGTTCCATTCCTAATAAACCTTCTGATACAGTCCTAGAACAAATCAGCTGAAAGCCCTGGTTTTTTATCCAGCCACTGAAAAATCTGCAGAAATCCCATGTCAAGACAACAGTGGCCTGAAACAGGGAAGTTTTTTGATTTCAGTACCAGGCTGCTGTAAATCCAGAGCAGATTCACACAACCCGTCACCGACAGGCTCGAAGCTGGGACATATTCTGCAGTATCAGGATGCTTTTAGCTACCCCAGCTCACAGAGCTGGACCCCAGCGCTGAGACCTTGTGTAAGCAGAGATTGCAACAGCAGTTCCTTCAACGGGGAGCTTGAAATCTAAGTATGTGTCTAAAGATGTTTTTACAGAGCTGCTCCTGCACGTGTGGTGCGAGCGCTGCGTGTTTGGCATGTGAACTAGCGGGTGCCGGAGGCCGGTGTCCCGGCCCCTCTGCAGAGGCTGCCCTTTCCTGCTGCGTGATGGATGAGAGCTGGGATCAGGGTGGCTGTGACAGATTTGGAAAGTGAGGAGTGAATCACTGGAAGGATGTGAAAACAAATGGCCTGGAAAAAGGTGATGGGTTTGCAAGGATTTGCGCAGGTAAATCCTGGGGGCTGGCAGCTGGAATTCTGAGGCCAGCAGTAGGGATGTGCAAGTAAGCTGGAGTGCCAAACAGTGGCTTTTGCAGCATGCCACGTCCCACTATTCACTGTGAGCAATTTCAGGAGCATCCCACACAGCCTCCGGATCAACTTCATCCTTTTTTTTCCTGCCTGCTGACAGTGTGAGATATGATGCATGCAGACCCTAAGGGGAGGGGGAAAGAAGTGAGCATCCACAACGGCATGGGAACCCAGATATTGTATAGATCATATACAATATTAGATGTAATGCCATGTCTGGGTATTTGTAAGACAGTCTTTGCACTCTTCATTAAGAGTTTTCGCTTGTTTGTTTTTGCTTTTATTTTTTGTTTACAATTCCCTTTTGCCTTTTTAGTTTTACTCTGTATGCTTGATGCCCCGTGTGAGGTTCTACGAGTCGTTTCTCTCAGTAGGCGATATCTTACCATACTGCTAGTATTACTAAGGTAGAAAATGAAATAAAACCTTAACACCATTGTTTTCAAAGGGGTTAGCTAGTGATGCAGCCAGCCACTGCCTTTCCGCTTCCAGGGGATGCTCAGCATCACGGATCAGATGTGTCTGGATAATGACAATCTTTAACTTGGTGAAGTGGAAGGTGCTGAAATGACTCGTGTCTCTGTTCTTTCCTACAATATGTTCAGCAGTGCTACTTCACAAGTATGTTTTCTATTACCACTTTCTCATTTGCTGTCTTTTAGTTTTGTATTGAATCTTGCTTTGAGATAGAAAAACAGGATCTCTGCATTAAGCACTGCAATCTCTGCACCACTCGGTACTTTTATTCTGCTCTGTTGTTTGTATTGGTCCCTCAGTCTCATCTGGAATAGGAGCCTTGGAAAGCACTGCTATATCCTGGGTTTTGCCAAGCTGTTCTTGAGGTGAAGTGGCTGAAGTGGTCCAGGAGTAATGAACCAAGCATGAGCAGAATGTCTGTCAGGATATATATATAACCATGATGTTGTACTCTCTTTATTTTTCTGCACTTAAGGTAAAAAATGAGCTTTAGATTGTTATCTGTGTATGGAGATGATTTCGTTTATGTCTATAATTTTACTGAGATCTCCTTTTTATAATTTTGCATTTCAAAACCTATCATCATCCTGTGTAAGAACTGGACATTAAACTTGCAAAGCAGACCCTCGCCAGGTCCTGGCACCTCAGCACTCCAACAGCCCTGCTGGAAAGGAGGCATCTGCTGAGCGGGGAGCAGGTTTAACCAAACTCACTGTTTCTTTCTGCTATTTCTTCTGCTCTCAATTTTGTGCTTTTGTGTGCAGGGGAAAAAAGCAATAACGTCTGTGTAACAAAGCACAGTGATCCTTGTTAGACACATTTCTTACCCGTATTGAAGTATGAATTCATCTTTGAGATGTAAATTGATTTTAGATTAAAATACCTTCATTATTGTATTTTGTCAATAATATAATTTAGGCTTATTTCTGTTCTTATGCTCTGACAGACCATACATATTTTCTGTACTTTTCTCCTTTTTTTTTTTTGCCCTTTTCTACTTCTATAGAAGAGTACTGAAGTTTTGAAAATGAAACATTTTTACTTTTGTAGCTAAAACTTTTTCCCTTCTTCTCTGTTTCTTTGTAAGTAACTTTTGAGTTTTTATTGGAGCCTGAATGTTTTCCATTAAACTCATAGCATCTTTTTAATGGATAGCATTAGAAGAGTCTGATTCTTCTTTCAAATGATTTCTTTTTTTCTAAGTGGAGTTATTGAGTCGTGTTGTTAATAATTGAGACAGTTGCTTGGCAGTGTGGTGCCTACACAGGGGAATTTTGTGAATTCATACATTTTTAGCCGCAAATGAATGATGTTATTTGTTTGTTCTGTACTTTTTAGTTTGTCTCGTCCTCCTAATGTGCATATAACATTTTAGATCCTTGTTTTGGGTTGTCTTCAAAATACTGAAAAGTAAAATTCCCATGAGCTTCAGCTCTTACCTCAGTGACCTTGTGAATTCAGACATCAGCTCTCCTTCAGCTTGCCTTTGTCTTCTTGCTCTTGACAGGTTACCTTAGGAAAAGTTTTAAAAGTGATCGTGGTGATGCGGAGTCTCTTCATTGACCGCACGATAGTAAAAGGATACAACGAAAATGTCTATACTGAAGATGGCAAGGTAGGCTATCATATATCCGAGAGTGTTACACTTTATTTTTACCTGGTATTTAAATTATAGAAAACAGGAATCCCATCACAGGTATGCCAGCAACATAAAACCGTCAAAAGTCTCTTTGTGGATGCTGCACAAAGTGCTCAGGTTTAAATTTATCATGCTTTGCTTGGATTTTTCATACCCTCATGTCTGACATCTTTCTAAGCTCTGATGCCCTCGCTTGAATTTCTAATTTATCACCTTAGACCTCAGTAGCCTCGTTAATAGTGTCTACTGAGAAAACATTTTTTTAGTGTACCAGCCCAGGGTTCAGATACTCTTTTTCTGAGAGCCATTGGGAAATCTTGGGCTAGTTTTATGCTCAAGTCGATAAGCTCAGGTAGGAGAATCATTGGGAGGTAGTCCTCAATTTGCTTGTCAGTAATAGCCCATCTCGAACAGCAACTATTAAAGCAAGTGTTACCTGTTTCCACAAGTGATTTGTTTTATGAACAACTCACCCTGCTTGAACCCTCAAATTTCTTCTCACTGCACACACTCCATATGGCTCTGTTAAGGCATCCGAAGATGTTAATGGGACCTGACGGCATCAGCTCAGTTTGTTTCTCTTTTCAGGTGGAATGGTCTCTCTTCCCGAGACATCCACCAGGACTCTCCTCTGCCAGTAACAGTGCTAAATATCTCCGTCTTTCACATTTGCTCTCTGGAGCTTTCTCTTCTGATTATGAAGCCTATTAAAATACAAAGTTCATTATATCAAGATGAGTACTTGGCACCCATAGGCCATGTTATAATGAGGTGAGACTTTCTTTCCTTTCAGAAGTGATAACTGTGTTTTAGCACACAGCAGCACGTTGTGTACTGACCCGCAGACCGGCAGCGCTCGCTTTGAGCCTCTCTTCCCTAGCAAAGGCCAGGAGCTGATCTGCCGGAGCACGGAGTACGGCTGGATTTCCCAGCTGCCAAATTCTCCCTCAAAGCGCAGGGGGTTGACCTAGGAAATAGTAAAATAGCAGTTGCCTAAATCTGATCTGCCTTATTCAAGTATGCAGGTTTAAATACCACTTTGTAAGAGAAGCAGCTGCGCCGCACTCCCTCTTACCCGTAATTTCACCCTTGGAGCAGCAGCCCCTCTTTGCCCCATGTTCTGCCTGCGACCAAAATGATATTCTGCCTGCAAAGCGTTGACAGTGCTTGATGGATTCCTGTGTCGCCTTTCATTTGGCTCTGCTGATTTTCTGTGATGCATCCAGTTTCCTTTGAAGTTCCCTTGAAAAGTAATAATGGTGCATTTGCTGAAAAGCCGACTGAAAGGCTTCCTGGGCATCTGGGACAGGGCTTCTGGTTAGCCCAAGGTTAACCCACCTGGGAGCTGCTGCTCTTTCCCAGCG